CTGCTGCTGCCTTAACTCTGGCTCTGAGGTGTCAGCAGCTTAGCGAGCTCTCCACTGCTGGTGGTTGCCGCTCCACTGCAGACTGGTACCCGGGTCATAGCCCTCACCCACAGATGCAACGCAAAACTGTCAGGAGACGATTTCCCAGGCATTTCTCATGCCTTAGGGGATAGTGTCCAAGCTTGTCAGTTTCAGTGTCTGGAACTGTGTGCTAGGTATGTTCTGCCGAGAATAGTGTGAAATCCCAAAATGTAAATGGCTTAGACAAGAAAGAGGTTTGGTTCTCTCACCCATGAGAGCAGCCCGAGGGAGACTGGCCAGGGCTCGTGGGAGAGCTGTCTCCAGCTCATTCTGGTGTGCTGCTCTGCAGAGGAAAGCCTGCTTGTGCTTTGGCCTCCAGGACTAGGAAGAGTGCTGGGTGGTGACAGAGGGCTGGGCACACTGTCACATTCCAGTAGAAGGCTGGGTCTCGGCCCTCAAGGACCCTTCCTGGAAGTCATCAACAACCCCTCCCCCTGCATTTTATTGGCTGAAACAGAGGTGCGAGCTGTGTGTGGTTATAAGGAGGCTGAAGATGTGGTCTTTTTAACTCGGCTGCCCACCTGAAAATTGGGGTTCTTATTACTAAGAAAGAAGATAGCGGATTACTGGGTAGTAACTAGAGTCCACCGTGGGGCCTGTCCCATCTCTCCAGCAGTCTTCCTCCTCCACCCCAGGCCCCTTGCACCCGGTGCTGTGTCTTCAACCTGTTAGTGTCTTCACTAAAGCTCTTACTAGACCTTTGCCATGTCAGGCGCTCCCCCAGTGCTGGGCCTTTTACAGGTTATGATCTTTGCCTTTCGACTCCTCATTTCCCTTTGAAACCCCTGTGCATCCTTCAAGCCCCAGGCCACTTCCTTGGTGGCCTTTTCCTGCCTCCTCCACAGTGACAGCACGTTTTTCCTTACTTGTGCACATAGCAGTGTGGAGTAGTAGAAGCGCTTCATGGATGTAGCAGTGGGACAGCCTTGAGTTTGAATCTCCTCTCTCCAGTTTAGACTGGAAAGTGCAAATACGGGATCTCCCAGCACAAAGCTTTTGTCTGGAGCCACAACACAGGTCCTTTGAGGTCCAGGTCTGCATGCTGGGCTGCTTGCTCAGCATCAGCGTTGCTGCTCCCCGGTGGCCTCAAACAGGAGATGCTCCAGAAAGGTCAGGGCAGATGAGAGTGAGAGCGAGTTTATTTCAGTACAAAAAGAAGCTGAAATCATGCATGGTGTTTTCCTACTATGCATTTTCCCTCGCTTTTTTTTTTTTTTAAGATTTATTTATTTATTTGTTTGAAAGGCAGAGTTACAGGGAGAGAAGGAGAGAGAGAGATCTTCCATTCCCTGGTTTACCTCCCAAATGGCAGCAACAGCCCAGGCTGGGCCATGTGAAGCTAGGAGCTTCATTCAGGTCTCTTCACACGGGTGCAGGGCCCAAGCACTTGGGCCATCTTCTGCTGCTTTCCCAGGCACATTAGCAGGGAGCTGGATTGGAAGTAGAGCAGCTGGGACTCAAATCAGCACCCATATGGGATGTTGGCTTTGCAGGCAGTGGCTTAAGCCCACTATGACACAACATTGTCCCTTCCCTCACTTTCTAAATACCTTCATAGAACCATTTTAAAAAATTATGTATTTATTAGAGAGAGAGAGAGAGAGGAGAGAGATTGATTCCATCCACTGGTTCACTTCAAAATGGTCACAATAGCTGGGGCTGTTCCAGGCCAAAGCCAGGAGCCAGGACCTCCGTCCGTGTCTTCCACATAGGTGGCGAGGGCTCAAGCACTTGGGCCATCCTCCGCTGAAGTAGACTGACCCATTGTGCCACAATGCTGGCCCCTAAAACTCTTGATTTTTGATTTCCTCTAGGCTGTGTCTGTCTGTCTCTCTTTCTCTTTGTTTCTCTCTCCCTCTCTCACAGTTTCCACCCCACCTTTTCTCTTAAGTCGTTCTTAAGTGATATCTTTTTATCAACCCAGCTACAGAAGTCAGTAATCACTTCTTATATCTAATAATCCTTAAACCTCATGCCTAATTACCACCAAAATCTCACAGCTCAACTCCAAAGCATTATCTTAATTCTATCTCCATTGCCCACATCACAGCTCTTTCCTCTCATGCCTGGGCTATTGCAGTAATTCTTAGCTGATCTCCCCACATCCACTCTTAGCCTGCTCTAATCTTGCCTCTGACAACACCACTCTTGCACAATATCCTTAGAGGGCTTCCCGTTGTGTTGTGGCTTAAATTCCAGATTCTTCTCTCCAGCAAGGCCCTGCTTGACTTGACTGCTGTCTGCCTCACTCTGCCATGCCCATTGGGTTCCAGCTGCGTGGCTGTCCTTCTGGCCCTTGATTGTGTGAGTTGCTTCCAGCTGTTACCACTTCCCCTGTGCCGTTCCCTACTAGGGATCCTTTGTCCCTCTCTTCACTCCTGTACACACCTTCCAGGGTCTCAACTTAAATGTCACATCCTCACACCTCTAAACTAAGTCATGTATGCCTTCCCCTTCTCCCTTGGGACTGACTGTTCTTTCCTTCTAAGCACTCATCGCAGTGTATAATTTTATATTTATCCAGTAATTATTTGTGTAATATCTTCCCCACATTAGCCTGTGTGCTCCAGAAGGGCTGGGATCATACTTCTTTCATTCACCACTGAATCTTCAGTGCCCAGTACTCAGTAAATACTTGGAATAAGTGAGTAAATAAATGGTCTTGGGATTAAATAACACAGTTGATTCTCTCATTAAATTGGTGCCTTTGCTGTTCAGTGTGGCAGGGCATCTTCGTTGGGAATGTGTTTAGGTGAGTCATCATTCCAGCTTGGCATTGCGGTCCTTTTTGTTCATTCACAGCATCTGTGATTCTCACCTGCAAGGCTATAAATTTTAGCTTAATTGATTAGAATGTAACTTTGAACAACACCTTATTTCTGCTTGGAAATCCTTGTGAATATAGACTTGAAAGGGCAGTGTTCAGATATGTTACCTGCAAATCATGACTGGGCTCACCTCCATGGCTCTCCCTCTGTCTGTGGATGTAACCTGGTATAACCTTTGGGGCAGAAGGCTCGCTGTTGTTGGGATGGAATCTGAAGTAATCACCATTGTAAGATGGAGCATCAGTGACTTACAGAAAGCCGCTTGCCTGGAAAAACCATTCATTACCCTGTCTTGACTGCCAGCTTTTGTGACCCAGAACTCAGATATCATACGTGTAAGTCACATTTACTTGTTTGTGGTAATTCTAGCCTCCTATTCTGTTTCTGAATTACCTTGTTCTGCAGGACACATTTGGCAGGGTTTGTTATGGAACCAACAAATCAACAATGTGTGTGGGTTTTTTCCTCCCCAAGATTATAAAAAAGCTGTTCTGGAAGCACCCGATGATTCTGGAATCCCGAACCATGGGTTGAAAATAAAAGGTGGACTTGAATGATGGCCTTCTTTTACTAGTGGACAGGCTGATCTACAATGGGAAAGTTTGTCTTGGCTTTTACTTGTAGCAAAGAATAAAGAATCAGCCTCCGATGGGTCCTTCGGTAGGTAAATTTTAGCGTGGATGGAAAAGCAGACAGTTGACCATTCTTCAGCCCCTTTGGGTCAGATCATGTCAGTGTTTCCAGAGTACGCCCTGAGTGGTAAAAGCTGGCTTTCAGATGAACCTTTGCTAAGAGGCAGCCAGTCCTGAAAAGGATTTATTTATCTATGTTGGCCCTGGTTGTGTCTAAATGATGACAGGTACAAGTCTCTCTCAGCTCTGGAGTGGGTGCCACATGAATTGGTTGTGACCCCCAAGTCCAGAAACTCTGCTATAGTTGGATACGACTATTTTGTATGGGAAATTGAATGTTTAAAGAAGACACAGAATTTTAAGTGTTCCGAAGTATGTCATTTGCTGCTTTTGTTCATAAGTGTTTTTAATACTTCTGGTCCACAGCCTAACTGCCTCTTCCTGGGGAAATGTGGCTTCAGTTTCTTGGGTGAATGTGCATTTTATAAGTTTTTCTAAGAAGGAAGTTAAACATTAAAAGACTTTAAGTACTTTACTCTTTATGTAATGTTACTTAGGCCAGGAAAGTCAGAGTTGGGTGTTTTATTTATTTATTTATTTATTTAATAAATATAATCTATTTTCCACCATTTTGTTTGTTATGGCTGGTACCAATGTACCTTTTTTTTTTTTTTAAGATTTATTTATTTATTTATTTGAGAGGCAGAGTTACAGACAGAGAGCAAAAGACAGTAAGGTCTTCCATCTGCTGGTTCATTCCCCAAATGGCTGCAGTGGTCAGAGCTGGGCTGATCCAAGGCTAGGAGCCAAGAGCTTCCCCTGGGTGTCCCAGGTGGGTGCAGGGGCCCAAGCACTTGGGACGTCCTCTACTGGTTTCCCAGGCCATCAGCAGGGAGCTGGATTGGAAGAGAAGCAGCCAGGTGCCCTCTTGGGACGCCCATGTGGGATGCTGGTACTGCAGGTGGAGTCAACATACTAGACCTCAATGCCAGCCCCAGTATCAAAGTACTTTTAAAGATAACATTTATTTTTATTTTGTTCAAATGTGCATAATAAATTAACCTATCTCTATTCTTCATTGTGGGTTGGGACAATATTTAACATACAGCTTTTTGGTGTTTCAACACACAGACTATTTAATTTAAATTATCATAGTTTGATGCCCACCACTTGGGTCATGTTTAGCTTGTGAATAATATCGAAGAGATCAGATGTGACCTGCTAAGGTTAAGTGCTCAGGGTAAGCATTAATGCAGGTGGGTGGCATGACTGCCTTGGCCCCGTCACCGGACCGCCACGGGCCTGATGGGTTCCTCTTCCGTAGAGTGAGTATCGGGGTAAATGGCATCAAGAAACTTTCCAGATCTCGATTTTAGAATCCCATCCGTCTATATGCCTAATGGATGTAGGTCTAACGGGTTGATTCCTCCTCTTCTGTTTTCCTCTCTTTTCAATGTAGGAAAAGAGGACGCTGGTGAGCCAGATAGAAAAGACGAGAGTGCTTCCTCATCACAGGACACAAGAGCTTTGTCAGAGAAGTCGCTGCAGAGATCCGCAAAGGTCGTTACCTACAGATTTTCCCCGCTTGTCCCCATGGCTGTCACCTGAGCTCCTGGGTGATGTCTCTTGTGTGATTTGGTCAGGACTGCACTTTTCAGTTACCAGGAAAGTCAGTAGAAGCACGATCATAAACAGTGACTATTTTTTTAACTTTAAACATATAAGTAATGTGCGTATTTGCCTGCTTTGGATGAAGGGCCAGTGCATCGGGTGTGAGTATGTTTATCATCCTTGCTTAAACCAGACTTGTAATGCAGCATCTGTGATTTCTTCTTTGGGTTATTTATTTTTAAAGATTTGTTTATTGTTTTGAAAGGCAGAGCAGTAGAGAGACAGAGAGAGATCATCCATTTGCTGGTTTACCCCCGATCCCCCAGATGGCTGCAGTGGACAAGGCTGGGTGAGGCTAAAGCCGGGAGCCTGGAACTCCATCTGGTCTCCCATATGGGTGGCAAGGGCTAAGCACTAGGGCCATCTTCTGCTGCTTTCCCAGGCACATTAGCAGGGAGCTGGATCAGAAGTGGAGCAGCCGGGACTTGAGTTATACTCAGTTATGGGTTACCAGAGTCACAAGCTGCAGCTTAACCTGCTGTGCCACGACACAGCCCCCAGTTTTGTTACTTAAAGTGGAGTGAGAATGCAGACTCTGCAGAAGCAATGTGAAAACAGACTTCTTCCAGGTTTTTATTGTTTTTAGCTCTATTTTTTATTGCTGTCATGCCCATGACAATTTCAATGTAAATTTTTAATTTTAATGAATTTTTTTTAAGATTTATATAAAAGGCAGAGTTACAGACAGTCGGAGGCAGAGAGACAGAGAAGTGTGCCATCCACTGGTTCATGCTCCAAGTGGCTGCAACAACCGGAACTGGGCCAGTCTGAAGCCAGGAGCTTCTTCTGGGTCTCCCACGTGGGTGCAGGGGCCCGAGGACCTGGGCCATTCTCCACTGCTCTCCCAGGCCACAGCAGAGAGCTGGGATCAGAAGTGGAGCAGTCGAGACTCGAACCAGCGCCCATATGGGATGCCGGCACTGCAGGCTGTGACCTTATCCACTAAGCCTGCCCCATAATAAATCTTTTGGTTTTTCAAAAGTGTTTATTTGTCAGAGAAGTAATTGTTTTTACATTTGTGTTTTATTATCTTGCACTCAGATGTGGGGTTAGACACAGCCCACTCTAGCTGTGTGCACAGCTCAGAGTGGCAGAGGTGCATAGGGCCGGGAACACAGTGGCGTCACAGCATGAGGCTTCAGCTGCCAGTGGCATCTGTCAGTGCCTTTAACCTAGGAATGCAGAGCGGCTGTGCTGCCAGCAGGTGGGTTGAGAGTGTCTCCTGTGCTGCCTATTACCAGGGGGACTTTCCAAGTGCACTATGTATGCACTGCTCCTGTTTCTCACTCTCTCTGACATTTTGAGGACTAACCATGTAGCAAGCAGCATGCTAGGCAAGCAGGATTGTAATGATGGCTAGATCTGGGCTCATTCTTTTTTTTTTTTTTTTTAAAGATTTATTTATTTGTTTGAATGGCAGAGTTACAGAGAGGCAGAAGCAGAGGCAGAAAGACAGAAAGAGACAGAAGTCTTCCATCCGCTGGTTCACTCCCCAGATGGCCGCAACGGCCGGAGCTGTGCCAGTCCAAAGCCAGGAGCCAGGAGCTTCTTCCGGGTCTGTCACATGGGTGCAGGGGCCCAAGGACTTGGGCCATCTTCTACTGCTTTCCCAGGCCACAGCAGAGAGCTGATTGGAAGTGGAGTAGCTGGGTCTTAAACTGGCGCCCATGTGGTATGCTGGCACTGCAGGTGGTGGCTTTGCCCACTATGCCACAGTGCCAGCCCCTCATCCTGTTTTATTTGACCTGTGCAGTATTTAAAATTTTTGACTAGTTTGCATTTAAAAAAAAAATACTATGGGGTGGACATTGTGGCCTATCAGGTTAAACTGCTACTCGGGACACCTGCATCCATATTAGAGTACCTGGGGCTGAGTCCCACTCTGCTTCTGCCTCCAGCCCAGCTTTCTGGTAACGCACCTGGGAGGCAGCAGGTGATGGCTCAGCCACACCCATGTGAGATCCAGATGGAGTCCCTGGCTCCTGGCTTCAGCTTGCCCAGCCCTGACTGTTGTGGGTGTTTAGGGAGCGAACAAGAAGAGGGATGATCTCACCCCCCCACCCCCTCCACCCCTGCCTTTCAAATACAAATTAATAAACATTTTAAAATTTTGTTAAGTTAGGAGTATTCACATAAAAATTAGAATTTTGACTTCTTCTGCCAAGAGAAAACATCTGGCAACACTGCACCCCTAAGTGAGCCCGAGCTGAGTAGAGCCCTGCTTCTAGAGCTGTGTTCTCTGATGTGCTGTGGCCCCAGCCCTGTCTGCTCCCTCCTTCCTTCCCTCCATTCTCCCATCCCTTTTTTGAGATAATGTTTCTTAATGAATTCAACCAGAAATTACAACACAAAATCAGCATTTGTAGGCAAAACTTATGCTGTGGTAGAGTTATTTCCACGACAACTAACAGTATAGGAACCCCAGGTAAAGCCGGGTTACTCAATATATTTCTTATGCTGTCAGCAGTTAGAATAAGAAACAGGGACTTCCTGCTGGAGAAAATGGCATAGACTTGATTTTTGCTCTTTCCACAAAGTACAGCTGTGAACTCTGGGAGAAACTAGAGGTAACCACAGGACAATTCTGGAAAGTGGAAAGAGGAAGCCAAGCTAACTAGGAACCCCAGGATGAGAGAAACAACATCATGGCAGAGACTTTACAGCTCCCACCGTCAGAAGGTGATACAGGCCTAGGGTTTCTGAGTCCCAGCCTAGCCATAGAGGGTGGCACAGGTAGACTCACTCCATTCAGATCTAACAGAAATCCTTCTAGAGACATCAGACCACCCTGGCCGCACCTGCAAGGGCAATTAACTGAGACTCTGATAACAGTAAGTGACCAGGGGGACTGTCTTCTTCCCTGTCCCCCCAGTGTCTGAGACTTCTCCACCAGTACGGGCAGTCCCACCACAGGGACAGCCCGGCCTAGGAAGCCTCTCTCCTCCCTCCTACCCAGTGGCACTGGGAACTAAAGATGCTGATGGAAGGGATCTTGCTACCACAGACAGCCCAGCCTGGGAAGCACACTGTTCTCCCAGACTCCTCCTCCTTCACTCAGAGACCATGGAAGTCGGTGGCATTGAAGGGAGGTGTCGCCACAACAGGAAACCCCGGATGAAGAGCCTCTTTGGCCCTGCAAGCTAGGGTTGCCTGGGCCATGGTTAGGGAGACTAGGTGGCCTGGCCTGGGGAAGTTCCTTCCAGCCCCACAGGCAATGCCAGTGGCACCTTACAAACCAACCACACCAAGATAGTGCTGGAGCTACAGCAGTGCAGACCAGGACCTGCGTGCTAAACCTAACCAGGCTTACTGCCTTCTAATACAGAAGACTTCAGTGAGACCCAGAGGCTCTTAACATGACCACCGAAGATCTAGGACACAATCAGAAACTACCCACCATTCCAACAAATAGGAAAATCACAACAGGAGTGAGAAAAGACATTCGACTGATTCCAGTTCCAGTACTGAGCTTTTGCAGTTCAAGGACAATGGCTTTTAAACAGCCCTCCAGACAACAACAACAACAACAGCAAAACAACTTCAGTTAGCAATTAAAAATTCTCTTGAGAAAATAGGAAATCGCAGCAAAGGAATAGAAAAGTCATAAAAAAGGACCAAATGGATGTTACAGAACTGAAAAATGCAGTAACAAATAGAGTACTTGCTGGATGGGGTCAAGAGTAGCATAAAGATAATGCGGCACACAATCAGTTAACTGCAGGGCAGATTAGTGGAACTGACCCAACCTCAACCACTGGAAAGTAGACTTTAAAAACCATTTAAAAAGAGCCTCTGGGAATTGTGAGACAATAAAAAAAAAAAGATTCAACATTTATATAATTGGAGTCGCAGAAGGCGAGGGTCAGGAGAGTGGGCTGAAAGAATAGACTATGGGGCCAGCGCTGTGGCGTAGTGGGCGAATCTGCTGTCTACAGTGCCTGCATCCCATATGGGTGCTGGTTTGAGTCCTGGCTGCTCCACTTCTGATCCAACTCTCTGTATGGCCTGGGAAAGCAGTAGAGGATGGCCCAAGTCCTTGGGCCACTGCACCCATGTGGGAGACCAAGAAGCACTCCTGGCTTCAGATTGGCCCAGCTTTAGTCATTGTGGCCATTTGGGGTGTGAACCAGAGGATTGAAGATCTTTCTCTCTGCTTCTGCCTTTCAAATAAATAAATCTTAAAAAAAGAAAAAATAATAGACTGTACTGACTTGGGGACAGGTAGACAAATGTCATAGAGGTTCTGAGATCCTAGCAAAAGTTGTCAACATTAACATGTCACAGTGTCTGAGCAGTTGACGTTTGCAACCACTTGACAGTTTGTGTTGAAGGTTAGGGGAGACCAACGGCTGAATGGCATCAAGCCTGAGGATTTGTAGGCTGGAAGTAGTGGGAGGACAGGAGGATGTGGCACTTGACAGCGCAGATAATCAGGCTGCAAGTGATGAAACGTGGTGGCTCAGGGACGTGGGAAAGCGTTCACAGCTTAAATGGAGCTAGCAGACTTACAGGACAGGAGATGGTTACAGCCCGGGAAGCCTTGCTGTGGAAAAGCCTAATAAGGGAGCTGCATGATGGATCAGCCTGAGCGGTGCTGGGGTTGTATCAGTTCCAGATGACACCCAGGAGAGGCCCTGAGGGTGGGTTGCTGAAGGTGAATGCAGGTGAAAGCCACTGGCATGGAAGAGGTGCACGCCTCACCTGTGAAGACAAGATGGTGGCTGGAGGACGCTGAGAAAGGCAGACTAACCAGACATTACGGAGTAGCCAGGAGGCTGGTCAGTGGGGGACACGACCAAGAAGGGGACAGACAGGCTGCATGAGACGAGAGTACAGAAACACGCATGAAGCCAGAAGACGGCATGGTCTGGATGTGGCAGTGCACCCAGGAAAGCCTGGGTGCTCCCTAAGGGCTGTGTGTGGAGGCAGAGCAAGGCGCTGGAGCGCTCAGTTCTTACGGCAGATGAGCACGTGCGAGGCGTGTCCAGCATATTCTTGAGCGAGGTTTTCCGCAGTTTTTCCAGATGGGAAGATGTTTTCCAGGAAGGGTGGGGAGTTAGGAGGGAGAGAGTAGAGGTAGTAGGACTGAGGTTGAGTGAGGCCAGGTGTCCTGCGGTCGTAGCAGGCGTGACTGGGAGGCGGCCGTTGCACACTCAGTGGGCTGAAGGTGCTCTGCAGACAGGCGCAGCCCACGTGGACACGCATTCACGAGCAACAGAAGTGGCTGGCTCAGGGCAGCTTGAATCTTAGCTCCGGGTTCTGGAATTGCAAGTAATTCCAGCAAAGCGCCAAAACCATCTACCGTGCGGAAGGAGAGAGGCGGGAAGAATGCCTTTGCCCAGAGGGCGGGGGAGAGGATCCACTTTCTTTAGAATGCTTCTCTCTTGGTAGAAGTAGAAATGTGCACGGTGCTGTGGTGGCCTGAGTCTTACCTGGTAAGATGAGAGACTGGGTTTAATCTTGGAAAGAAAAGGAGGATTAAGTGTTTCCCTTTACATTTGTTGGAAGCATAATTAAGAAGAGCAATTTATATCCATTTAGTAATACTTTTTAAAAAGCAGCCACTGTGTTGTTCATGTAAGATGGTGGTATTATTCCAGTGAAAACTGAGATGCGTAACGAATCCCTGGAGCTGTGCTTCCCTGCTGGTACCCCCGCACCCTCGTAAGCCCCGGTCGTGGCTGTAAGAGCACTTCCGTCTCATTGATCCACACGCTACAGAGCGTTTTCTTGCATGTGTGTGCTTACAGGATGCTTAAGTTGACGCATGATAAGTAGAGGCTCTTGATTTTGACCCACAGAAGTTACTGCACCCAGCTGGTTGATCAGAGCCCATCCTGCTGACTTTTCCAGCTGTCCCCCAGCTCTGTCGGTGAACAATGTTGATTCCGTCTTTGGTGTTTTCAGGTGGTTTACATCTTGGAGAAAAAGCATTCCCGAGCTGCAACCGGCGTCCTCAGACCCTTGGCTGATAAGAGCAGTGAACTGTTCAGGAAGTATGCCCTGTTTTCTCCCACAGACCACCGAGTGCCTAGGGTTTACGTGCCTCTCAAGGACTGTCCGCAGGACTTTGTGGGCCGGCCTAAGGATTACGCCAACACGCTGTTCATCTGCCGCATCGTGGACTGGAAGGAGGACAGCAACTTTGCCCTGGGGTAGGTGACCCCTGCTGAGGGCTCAGTTTCCGTGGCCTGAGGGTAAATGTTGTATGTTTCAGTTGCTAGTTCTCCATTAGAGCACGGTGCTTGGTGTACTTTGGCCCTCTTTTGAAATTACCCTCAGCTGCCACCTCCACTGGTCACCTATAGGTTTCTTGAATTACCAGGCAATCATTTTTGGTGTGAATATAAGCATGCTCTGAGCCTCTCATTTCCCGGGGTGTCCTGGATGACACCCACACTTGTGTTGCATCAAATAGCTCGTGCTCTATTTTCAGATGCCAGTGCCGCAATGAAAAGTCCAGGCATGGTTAAGGGATGCTAGGCTCCTTTGCTTTAAAATATGAATTTGAAGCTCTGTTTGATTATTGTGCTTTTGGTATTGATCTACTGTATTTGATTAACACCAGAGGTTTTACCTATGGCATTAAAAGCTGAATCACCTAGTTAGCAACAGAAGGCTGGCATGTTTTCCTGGAAGCTGTCTGAAATCACCGAATACAAATTTATGTGACAAAGTCTCAGAGCATAATGGGTGGCCATTGCATTTTTGTTTAATGATTTATTTCTTTATTTGAGAGGCAGAGGCAGAGAGGGGGAGAGAGAGAAAGAAAAAAGAGAGGTCTTCCATCTGCTGGTTCATTCCCCAGATGGCTGCAACGGCCAGAGCTGCACTGATCTGAAGCCAGCAGCCCAGAGCTTTTTCCAGGTCTCCCACGTAAGTGCAGGGGCCCAAGAACTTGGGCCATCTGCTGCTGCTTTCCCAGGCCATTGCAGAGAGCTGGATGGCAAGTGGAGCAGCTGGAACTTGAACCAGTGCCCATATAGGATGCTGGCACTGTAGGCAGTGGCTTTACCGCTATGCCACAGTGCCGGCCCCCGGCCATTGCTTTTTGATTTGAAGAAACAGATCAATTGCTACACCTGTGTTTTTTCTTACACGTGGTATTTGTTTTGAAAGAAGAGCAGTATTAAATTTTAGCTCGATTTTGATGCTTTCATTAAGGACAGTGTCTGGTTTGTGCTTCACAGGAATGAAAATAAGGCTGTACAATCGAGAACAGTCATTTTGATTGGCTTTGAGTCAAGTATAGTGACTTTCTTATTGATTAAATTGTTGGTCATTTAACTGGGACCCTCCTGGGATGGTCCTGAGGTTAGGAAATGAACACTGAAATGATGGCCGCCGTGTGCTGCTTTTATCAGGCCTGCTCTATGCTTCTCTTCTGATGCCTGACACAGTAAGACCGACCTGTGTGCCACGTTGTCATTTAAGAACCACCGCCCATGCCGCTTTTCCAGTTGTATGAGGAGCCTTGTGAGTTACAGGGTCTCAGAGCCACCCAGGAGCACTTGCACTTCCTTTGTTGCTCTCCAGTGGTGTGACTGCAGGGTCATCGCCTTGAAGCCTATCTCATCCAAAAGTGACGTCACAGCCTTGAGCCCTACATACTTCTCCTCACGGGCTTGCCAGTTTCTCACCATCAAATCGCAAGGCCGATAATGGCTTCCCTGCCTGGCCCCTCTTGATTGTGCTGCCACATTATTTAGCGGGAGAAGGGAAGGCTTTCACATCCAACCAGGAAATCCAGCCTTGTCCTTTATCTGCCCTCTGTCCTGGTCCATTGTCACACTTGATTGGACTACTTCCTTGGCTTTCAAGCTGTAAGGGTGGAGTCAGGAAATCTCTGTGGGTGAGTTTCTCTTATTACTTGAGTGGCCTGAGAGGTTGCTTTTCTGCAGCTGAGCTGTGACTTCACCAGAGCACCCTTTTCTTGTGGATAAGTACAACAGCCACTAAAAGGGAGTCAGGCCTTTGAAGGCAGCAAACACATTCGCTAGATTTAAAGAAGGAATACTTTAAAATGATGATCGTATAGTTTTCAAAATAAAAGCATTTGAAGATAATCAAGTATAGATGGAAATTGATTACGTTTTTTCTATTGTCTTAATATAAAGACTTGAAAAGAGGCCTTTAAGGAAACATGCTGGGGCTGGCATAAGCAGCTGCCTGTGATGCCAGCGTCCCATGTGGGTGCTGGTCTCAGTCCTGGCTGCTCTACTTCCAGTCCAACTCCCTGTGATGTGCCTGGAAGAGGCAGCAGAAGATGGCCCAAGTGCTTGGGCCCCTGCCGCCCACATGGGAGACATGGATGAAGCTCCTGGCTCCCGGCTAATGCCTGTCCCAGGCCTGGCCATTGTGGCCATTTAAAGAGTGAACCAGCAGATGGAAGAATTCTCTCTGTAATTCTGACTTTAAAATAAAAATAAATAAATATGCTTTCTAAAATCCTTGTGAAAAAGCAAATTAAGAATATGTGTGCAGGTTTTCATCTTGGGGTCCCACACGACACGTGTCACGTGAAGAATGGGAGGGCTGCAGCTGTCGTGTGGGTGGGGTTGCCTCTCTGTGTTGTTCTGGCTGGCAGTTGCTGATCTTTAGAAACCGTGGTCACTGCTTCCCAGTCAGAGCATGTTCTATGCTGTTCTCCCTCGGCTTTTTTCAGACTTTGACCATGAGCAAATGTGTGTGGTCAGCTTCCACATACACTGTACGCGAGGCCTGAGGGAGCTACGATGGCTTCCTTCTGAAATTTCTTCCTTCTTCCTGAAGCTCTGCCCTTAAAAGTAGTGCAGTTCTTCGGCCTGTGGAATTGCTACTAATTTTTCAAGTCCAAAGTTACTTACCTCTTCTGTATTAGATTCAGTTCATCAGACAGGTTTTGTTCAACTGTGCCTCATGTACTATCTGAGAAATACAAAGGTAAAAAACAAGCTATGATTCCTTTACTCAAGGAAGTTATAATCTCATGCAGAAGACTTGCAAATAAATGTTGTAGGGAAAATTTGATTTCAAGAAGTAGAGGCCCACTTGAAATAATTTAAATAAAAATGGGGATTAACACGAGAAACTCCTGGTGCCCCTAGAACAGGAATGGGAGGAGGTCTCTTGAGAAACGCAGGAAACGGCAGCAAAGAACCGCACTTCTCACCCTGACCAGCTTGTCCGCCGCATGGTATCTTCTCGCCACCTCTTGTTGCGCATGAGCTGTGTTTCTCTGCTTCTCTCTGCACAGTAGCCGTGTACCTGCTCACAGCGAGTCCTCCACAGGTCACATGCTGAAGTCTAGGTTGTAACACAGAATTTCCAGGGTAGAAATCTTATTGGTCTAGCTTGAGAGGTATTTTTCCTAGTCAGTGGTTTTAACCAGAGTTAGGGATCCAGACTTCCGTGACCCATCACCAGTTAGCAGCACTGGGGGACTCGGTTCTGCAGTAGGAATGAATCAAATGACTTATCTCTTTTGAGCTCTCACAGTAGCACAAAGTAGGGTATTGTAAGCGCCTCCAGAGGCATAAGATAAGTTTTTGGAAGTTTAGAGGTGGGTGAGGGAGGAATTTCAGGATCGTTTCGTAGAGAGCCAGAGGCCTCTCAGCTACAAGATCACTGATGGGAGTGTGGAGTGGATGGGAAGAGACATGACAGGCAGCAAAGCGCCGTAACAGGCTGCTGTAGCAGACGTGCGATGCGAGGGCCGGAAATAAAGGGGCTGCAATGGAGAAAACGGAAGGAGTGAGAATACCCAGGGGAGACGAAGAAGGCGCGTTCCCCTGCATGTGACGCCTGACTAGAAACGGGCGTGAATGGCCAGATGCTGCCGGCATTTCGCTACGATTCACTGAGAACCCTTCAGCTGCCGCTGTGTTCTTCACGGGTGCCTCTTCCCAAGCTGACTGTGTGTGTAAGAGCTTCAAACTTCTGCCCAGCACACTTTTTCACACAGTGGCTTGAAAGACTACCCAGCTTCTAGCTCAATGTGGTTGTCCACTCCGACTATGTTCTGACTTGTGGGCCTTCCTTCTGGGTGTTCCTGTAACTTCTACAATACATTATTGTAGCTCTCATCTGTTTGGATTGCATTTGCTTATTTAAGTGTTTGCCGGGGCCATGAGCTCCTTTTGGACAAGGATACTAGTGCAAGTGTGGTGGCTAGTCAGCTGAGGTCACAGGTCAACTACTTGAGCCATCCCTGCTGCCTCTGAGTGTCCACACTGGCAGGAAGCTGGAGTCAGGAGCCAGAAGCAGGGGTCAAACCCAGCAGTTCCCGTGTGGGACACAAGTATCTTAACTGGCATTGTACCCACTAGGCTAAACGCCCACTCCCAATAATGTCAAGCTTAGTGGGTGTAGATGTTTAACTGAAAGAACGACTGGAGTGAACACTAAATAAAGTACATGTCAGCAGCCTTGGGAATGCTTGTAAGGAGGCCATGGACCTTGGCCTCCCCTGTGCTGTGAGCATGCTTCTCTGGCACCCTGTGACGCCTCCGTTCGTGGGAAGCTCAAAGGGAGTACAGGGTCGGAGACCTCTAGTTGTTAGAAAATTATTTTCCTTTTTGTTCTGAGAATTTTCCTGACAGATCTGTTATACCTTGTTCACGTCTCTGGACAGCACATCGGCACATTTTCGTGACTCTCAGTCCTGCAGTATTATCAAAACCCCACAAGTAGTCTTTGCTTAGAGAGCCCTTGCTGTCTTTTAGGGATCACTGCTTTTCGTAATGCACTACAGCATATTGAGTACTTCAGTACTGAGTCCTGGACTCTCGTCCAGGATAATTAAAAAGCCACATTGGCTTCCGCACTGGAATGATTTGCAGTTATATAATCAGATTTACAGTTTTACGAACTTCCCAACCCTCTCAGTCACCTTTCCCTTCAGAAGCTGTCGCAGGAGAATT